TTAGTCAAGTTGAATTGAGTAAAAACGTTTTGTTTATTTTAGGTGCTTTGCATTCCATAAAATAAAACCCTGAGTTTATAAAAATTGTCGTTCAACCTCAAGATGCCGAAAAATTTCCTGTCCTGGTTAATTTTTAGACAGATATGAATTGACTTGTGGCTTGAAAAACCCGGCGACTTACCCATCTCTGTAAGGGAGACTGCAAAGACCTGTGCAGTGGAGTTCTAGAGCCTTGGAAACTTGAAACTCTCAAGAATAGAGTAGTACATATGTGTTTATCCATGTATTACAAGTTGGCTACTCACTAATTATTTGCGTTCATAGTTGAGCTAAGTTGATTATTCACTTTACTTGGTGTTAACTAGAAGAATACTGAAATTAATTAGAGCGATTTCTGTGAGTATCCTAACCTCCTGCAACAACAGAAGGCCATCGACTTACTTCTATGTCCTAATGTACAAATTTTCCAAGGGATCTTCTATTGAGATTCGATTTTAAAGATTTTCAGGGTTTAATTGTAAGTGAGAACACATTCTCTAGTCTTGTAATGCTAATTATATGATAACTGTCCTTAATTAGCGTCAATTCAGGAAGTACTCATCTAGATTATAGCTAATTTCGTGAATAATAACCGTAACTAACGCTACTGTGGGCAACACTCCAAATAGTGCTCAGTTAATTCATGAGTACCCATCTTAATTTGATTAGTTCAGTTGTCGGTTAATTAATGAGTAATGAACGTGGTAGTCACCTGACTAGTGACTATATACTCAGTTTTTAATACTTATAGAAGCAAATATTTAATATGCTATTTTTCAGATCTCCAGAATTATTTGGAGTCCGCTGTTTCCCCCTTGTTTATTAGTCACGTGTAACTTCAGTTTTTCTCGTCAACATTTTTGATACAGCACCTGTGGTCACCGCTTAAGGGAGCCCAACGAGTTAATGGAATCCTATAATGGAGAGCTCTGATGGGCTAGGAAAATTGAAATAAGCATCTTGTCATACTGCATGATCGATAAAAACATTTCGAAAACTGCACCAGTATTTTGTCGTCAAGGTATTTTTTTAGCAGACAATTTAGGTTTTTACTCGTGATAAATAGTTCTATTCTATAGGATAGACTGCTTATCAAGTTAGAATTTTGACTTCAACTATGCTAGAAGTCAACGTATACTATAGGATAGCATCATTTTTATCATTGGGATACTTGCAATAGATATTCACTCAAATTATCCTTCAGAACTTATTCATCATATTTATTGGTGGCATGAATAAAACGAGCTAAATTGCACTGTCATACTGATTTATTCTTCCAAGACGAAAGGTCAAATTATGTTAAGCAATTTATTAAATATGTTACAAAAAAATATTTCAAAAGAAACTGATATTACATCGACACTTTACTTGAAGTATATATATACCAAAGTTATACTTTGTTCTCATATCAATGCGTAATGGTGATGGTGGTGTGTTTGACGTAAAGGATTAGTAATGTCACTCATGTTTAAAATTGACCGTCTACACACGCATTACTTCTAAATTGAAGTGATATTGCTTTCCCCGTCATGAAGTCCTATGCATGGAAGAGGTATCATTAATTTAGTATTTTAAACCTTAAATTCGAGAATATTTCAATAAGGCAAATAATAAGAGAGAATTTTATTTAGATAACATGTATTCTCCATTTGCAGCTAGTTTTTCGTCCTAATACATGTGCCATGACGCGATTTTATGTGCCTCTACATTGGTGCCCATACTTTTTCTTAACTCGTTGGGCTCCCTTAAATGGTGATTACAGCACCCAATGATACTTGGAATTATTCTTTCAATTGACAATGAGACAAACCAATTTCTTTAACTCAAATTAAATTCGCTTTTTCTTCTAAGTCACGTTCATGAATCATGATGATATGTCATCTGCCATATTGTTTAAATACACGCGACGAACATTTTTCTATTCGACTGGCACCACCTAGCAATATACAAACGGGACCATGCGAATGCATTCGCACTCACAACCAACAGTGTTCGTGTAGGATTGGTGAAAGATGAACACTGAAAATTAGAGTACATCTATCAATTATCGTAACATAGTATATATAAACAAATTAGGCTAAGTTTTTTTTAAGTTTTATTGAAAGAACAAAAAAAATGCAAAGTAATGTTTTAAGCAATGGAGTTGAGTTGAGAAGATTCAGAAGGCGCCTCTCAAGACGTTCATTTGTCTCATTCTTCTTCGGTGGTTCTCCAGCGTTGATTTGAACGAGATCAGCATGTACCACGTTTTCTTCGTCGATGAGTCTCTGCAAGAAAAGCCACAACATAGGATGACTGCATTAGAAGACCGAGTTGATACGCCGATGATAGACTTCAGCAGAGTTGTTGGTTCTCATGGACAGCTGAGCTGTACGGTGGTGCATCGTTCAGAAGTTGATCTCGAACAAGGATTTTCGACGAACACGATTCGATCGTAATTTACCTACGTAGAAATAATAATTTTATTGAATTAATTTTCTTAATTAATTAGTGTCATATCTATATAAGTTTCTTCAAAATAGTCAAGGATACTATCATATTGGTCGTCTAATTGTTCACAGAGTGATTCGAAGTCATTGAGGGCAGAGTTCGGATCAAGAAAAGCCAACGCTGCAATTTTATGGATGTATGCGCGAACGTTGAATCTGTTTGATATTGGGCTTGGTGCCCGAGACTCTAAAACAAAAAACAGTGATAATAAATTGTTTTTTTATTATAATATCTTTCTTACCTGCAATTTTCGATGAATACTTTGACATAGATGAAAGTAACAACCAGAAAGTGAAACAGAACGAAATTTATTCTTAAGAGAGCTAATTGATGCCTGTTCAAAGTCCATCATTACCGATGCCGGTAACCAGTTACGAGCAATTTTTACAATTTCATCAAATAAACGAGTATACGTACCTGCGTCTTTTCTTCGTAGCAGCGCATAAACCACGGGAACAGTATGTTGATGATAAACCGCGTGAATAATAAACAGCTGGTAGAAGACCTCTGGAACTACATTGAACGTCCCATCAACTAGAAAATCTTGTGAAGTCTGTAGTACATGCAGTTGTTCAGGACTTGCGAAGAAAAGAATTCGACCATCGCCTGGAACAAGAATGGTAAAATAGTGATTCAATCTGTCACTAATTAAGTTAATTACTTACTCATCAGGGCCAGTATCTCACCGGAGAAATTGTTCCTGGCGATAATTGAAGGTGAGTTGCGTTGGAACAGATTGAAATTGGGGGTCGTTGGGTTTCTTGACGATCTGATTGTTTTGACGAAGCATTCAAATTCGTCGCTTGATGTTGTCGCGAACTGGAAGACGAGCGAGTGATGGATCAGACAGCTGTAAAGTACAAACAATTTTCATATTGCTCAATTTTCATAAATTAGCGCTCACCTTTATAACAATTAGTTACAATTACATCAGGATTTTCTTGAGTATTAAGTGCACGAGCAGCGACTTGTTGAGAGAATTGGCATACCTGATTTTCAGTAGCATCAAATTTACAAATATGACCACTAGGGTGTTTGAGAATTGTCTTGGATTCTAGGCAAGTATGTAATCGAGCATGACAATGATCAGACTTGCACTTGATGCATCGCCAATAGATTTTGTCGCTTATAATTCGATCCCTAACATACGAAAACTCATCAAGATCGAGTCGTGGCCGTTGTTTAGAAGTACCGCTTTGAGAGATAGTAAACATGTTTACGCAAATAGATGATGATCACATACATCTTGTAACATGATTTTATACATTTTTTTGAAATTAAGATCATTAGGCTCAGATAGGCACAGTTTCTAATCTAATTTTTTTCGTCAACATGTTTGATTGTAGTGTTCATCATACCAATTAAGCCACAAAATATTTTTTTCTCTTTCCTTCTCTCTCTCGACAATTGACCGCGCGGGCTCAAATAGTCGGTATTCATCTTTCCTTTCGTTCATCTTTCCTGTACTCTTCTTTCCGTGCTCTTCTTTCCGTGCTCATCTTTCCGTCTCCCGTTGGTGTAAGAGGAATCTTCTTTGATTGCTTTCTCTCTATCGTGTCATTCACACCCATGCGCATACATATACAAATATACAAATACACAAACAAAAACATTTGAGCGGCCTTTAACACTATGGAATTCAGCGAGTGAGTTGGAATCATTGTGTAATTTATCAACGAGCGTTCATCAATCTTATATACACGATCATTTTTTTTTGAAATTCTATTTGTTAGAAGATCGACTTTGAAAAATTTGAAGCATTCTCAAACTTGCATTATTCAATCGTGGAATCTTGAAAATTTAGAAAATGTTTGATTTTCCCAATATTCAGAAATTCAAGTTGATTCTCGAAAGAGTTCATTTTCTGAAAACAATACGAAATACTTCTCATTTCTATTTTAAAAGTTAAATTCTTATTGTGGTTCACTCATCTGGCATCGTCTGTAGTTCAACTATGTCAATTTCTAAATGCGGGCATTCTGTGTTCTTTAATTTCAACAGCTTTATTTTTCGATAACTATTATTTTTGCTCGTAATCTTCTATAACTGAAAATAAAAATATGTTAGTGACTCCTATTTTTTATCGTATCTGCACAATATGAACGAACGAACGGACATTTCAACTGACCAATTGTTTGTTTATAAATTTTCTTTATTTGGTGTTAATTTCATATTTGACAAAAAGCATCCTTAATACGTTACAATAATTTTATATTTTTCTCTTTTAGAATCATAAGACTGCTCTTTGGGCTCTTCGTTTTAGTAAATCATAAAATATTTTAAACTAAACGTGGTATATTTTTTTCCTAGATATTTACATTTTTGTTCTTCAATGAAGTTAATCTTATTTTTGAATTGTCACGTAAAACCCAAGTAAAGAACACATTTTATTATCATTGTCTCTTATTCTGTTTTTCTTTAGATCTATGAATTCTTCGGTGGTTTTTCATTTGATCATCAAGAAAAAGAAAATATTACTGAAGGTAACACAATTTATTAATCGTTCAATTTTATTTTTGATTTGTTTTAGAATAACAATTACTATTCGTTAGGGAGCACCTGATCACGAAACGGTACAAGCGGTCGAAAAATTGTTTCTAAATCGTGTGAGTTTTTTAATTGACCATTTAAATTATAATACGATTCTCAAGGATTAATTT